GTAGAGTAGGTTACAATGTGCAAGGAGGGGTTGTGTGGTTTGAACATACATCCTTTGGGTAACATAGTCTCATCACCTTCTACTCTTGCCTTAATCTGCTAAACCACCACTTTATCAGCCTCCACTGTATCGTGACAGAAGGATTATTTACTCTCTTGGATGAAAAATCGTCCCATATTTAGGATTTGTCTGTTTAAAAAAAAAAAACTACAATATGGGGGGGGGGGGGGGGGGGGGGGTGAAAGAGAATTATTTCACCCTAAACCAAGACCATGTGCTCGTTATCTGAAGCAGCCCGTCTAAAAGACAGACTTAAAAGTCTAAAATAAGACCAAAGACATTAGAGACTAACTCAAGCCTAAACAAGGCTGCACTAACCACAGACAGAGAGTGGGGATGACATTTTGGGCATTTAGCAGACAGTCTTTTTTCCAGAGTGACTTCCAGTAACTGCAACAAGAGAATAAGCTTAAATCCCTGCATCACACACGTTACAAGCATCTAGAAGAAAGCAATAAAAGAAGCAGAACAATGTGCCCAGACAGTCAAATAAGTTCAAAATAAGTGTGTCCTTGAGATACGAGAGAAATAAAAAATGCTATAAGTGCGAGCTGCTGAGCTATGAGCTTTTTTTTTCTTTAAATAAACTATCCGTGACAAATGGATGTGTTCCTTTATCTGAACTGCAGCAGGGTTGAGATGAATAATGGCTGATTGCTCTAATAGATGCTATCTTTTTTCTGCTTATTGGAAACAGTAAGTTAAGACAGTCCATGTTCATAAATAAATGGGTGCAGAAATTAGAAATAAAAGGGAGTTGTGAGTGCACATAATGAAAAAACTTTAAAAAACTTCAAAGAAAAACATCCTATGCCTTCTGAATTACTTGGGTTTAAAAAGAGGATCTGCTTTAGAAGAGCACAGATGTTTATACTGACATGAGCTTTATTGCGAGGTATGGAGATGTTAGGTGATGTCAGCTGGAAACACTTGTGCTATATAATTTGAGTGAAGCTTTTTTAAACAATCTTCTGACAAATCAAAATACACAAAAAGAAAAAAGCCAGAGGTAAAACTTAAATATAAACGGTAAAATCAAAGTTTTTAAACAACTTCTACTGGCGCCACTTCAGTCACACATCTAGCAGTTAACTTCTAGAATTCCTAAATATTTACCTACATTTAATTTCTGGTATCTCCTCAAGCAAGAGAAGACAAACACTTTTGTACTTTCACATACTCAAACGGTAGGGTTTGGTCTGTTAAAAGGATTACTTGAGTTGCTAGCATGATAAAAGGCCATCACAGTTTACAGAGCCAGCAATAGTAAGCCACGATGAAAGTAATGAGTATTAAAACAAGCTGAAGCAGGACACAGCGTTTTTGAGTAAGAACACGCATCAGTCCCGACTTAAAGGAGACAGCAGCGACCAATGGGACGGAGGTTTAGCAGGAATTCATTCTCCTTAAATATCTCCTTAATAAGACACATTTCAGCAGGCATAAAAAATACCTAACCTAACCCAAAACTCTTACAGTATCATGTAGAGGAGGCACCATAAAAGTTGGGCATAAGTTTAACAAACTTTTATCAGTACTGTTAACTTTTTTAAAGTTGAAAAATCGGTTTGTATGTAGTGTTAGTGAGGTTATTGTACTGTGTAATATTCAGTTCATTCAGGTTTCTACAACTTCTGAAGGTGACCCAGAAGGTGTCTGATTTCCTATCTTTACATAAAAACACTCTGGCTCCCATGTTTATGGTTTCAATGAAAATAAAAGTATAACATAACTACAGATAACTTTTTTAAGGAGATACTAATTTAGCATCTTTCCAAAAAGGTATATAAAACAAAAAGCAAGATGTAGTTTGAATGAAACAAACTTGTCTTTCCAAACTCCTTTATGACCACGATGCTTTGATGCAGTTAAAACAGTCTCGCGTCCACCAATGCAATCCTTTCAATTCTCCCAAAGAAAAGCCGTTTGGACTTAGTTAAAACGTCTTTTTACACTCTCAAACCAACCGTTTTCGCATGTAACACTGTACTGCTGTGAAACGACCAAAGACAAATGCATGGCAGCCCACAAAATCACTACAGTTGTTCCTCATGTCTTACAGAACATCAAACCATCAATAAAACGCAGGAGATACATTCCAGCTAGTTGAACAGGACATTTCTGACTTCCCTCGCTCCATGTGTTCTCCCTCTCTCAAAACTTTCTCTCTTCCCAGTTCCACCGCAGAGACTTCACATATTGCAGCCATATGAGTAAGCCATGGCTGTCTCCCCGGCACATACAGACACAGACACACACACACATACAGGAAAAAGTGCTGCGCTCTCTCACACTCGGTCTCACACACACATACGGGAAAGAGTTTTACAAGCAGAGGTTCTCTTTAGGAAGTCGTCAACTGTTTTGACGTTTAATAGCAGCTACGAACAAGGCCGTACGTTACAATAATATCCAGTGTCTGGAAAGAGTAAAAACTTTAAAGTAATAGAGATAGATTGATACATGGCTAGATCAGATTTTTACTTCGAAAAAACGTGTTAAATGTTTGTAAAAGTTTAACAATGGCACATAATACATACATGTCTGCGGATAAAAGACAAAAATGAACTGAACATGCGACTTGTCAATGTTAAGAGCAACCATACACAAGGCTGGTTTATCCAAGGGAAAAATATAAACGGGCAAGATGGACAAGACAGCCACAGCAAAGAAAAGTCTGAAAAATAGTCCCAAATATATTAAAAGTTAATTTCTGTCAAAGCCCTTGATCCTGATTTACTTTGAGTTGCCACTTGCCAACTAATAAATCAAATCCATGTCAATTAAAAAAGCAAAGGCATAAAGAAAACGTTATTACATTTGTAGGAATTTGTTTTAAAAGGTTACGCATGGAGCTGTATATTAAATGAAATGACATTTACTGAACTTTACGTGGGACAGTAATATTAAGAGCTTCGACTATTAAACTTTGACTCAACTTTGAAAACAATTCTGTGACTTTTGTTTAGTAAAAAGTAATAGAAGAAAAACACAAACATTTGTCATAATGCTACATGTTAAAAAGAAAAGACATTTGGCTTACACTGCTGAATGTAAAGTGAAGTGCTCAAAAAGTATGAACAATTACTCAGCGTTTATAGTCTCAGACTTTGATTTGTCTTAGTATGTTGCTTCTGAAATTGCAAAACCAACTACAACTTTAAAAGTACATTCATTACTTTTGTTCATTAGTATTTTTCCTCAAGTAACTCTACAGTTTTAACAATGCATGTCTAACCTTTACTGTGTCCGAGAACAACACTTTCAAAAGTTGTCAGAGAATATTCTTTTAAAATAATAGACAATATTGCATACCAAAACGTTGTGAGTATTTAAGATCACGAAAGTCAAACTTATTCTTTACTTTTTTTAAAAGTCAGTGTAGCATTTTATCTAAACATCTGCTTTGACATTGAAATGCCGTGAAGGTTAAGATGAAGATACATGCTTCTTATTTTAAAGTACTATAGGAAAAAAGCCAGCAAAAGTTCTGCAACTTTACAAGTGTATCCACTCAACACATAACTAATTAAATCACTTTATAATATACAAACTTTCAGCTTCTCAAACAACAGTAAAACAAGTGTGGGGGTCAGAGTAAAGTCCCACATGCCTGCTCTGCTTAAAAAAAATTACTAAGGTTATCTGTTGCAATAAAAGTCGGTCCACACACAAGCAGTTCTTTAGGGGCCAGAATTGGAGAACTGTGAAGGACTATGTAAAAAGCTTCCTTGCAGTGTGTGCCTCATTGTACTGGCTTCACATACTCTGCTCTCCCCACAGAGTTGTCATGCCTACACAGCTCCCTTATCTCAAAGGAACATCACAGTTTCTTACAACAGGGGGGGGGGACTTTTACAAAGTTGAGTGGAAATGCAACTCAGGCTTCCCGGCATCACCCATGAAAAAGTTAGACAACACATAAATAAATGCGTGATATATCAGCTAATAAGTACTAAAGTTGATAAGAGAGGATGTTTGGGGATGTTTTACGACAATCCACATCCACCATGCGCTCTCGGGCTTCCTAACAATGAAAGAGGTGCAAAAACCGCGCCATACCGGCTGGTAAACCACTTGACAAAACACAATGTCTTTGATCTAGTGTCACTTCTTTTCCACTTTTAACCCAGTAAACTACAAGCATCTACTCGTTCAACTTTCAGCATAAACCTTCTTTCACCCTTTATCTACGACGTGCGTCATAAGGAGAACCAAGAATCTGAACTTGAGTATCAAGTTTGCAGGCACAAAAGTAATGAAAAAGTGATCAATGAAAACAACAAAAAGTAACACACAGAAGTTACACGAGAGCTACTTTGAAGGGACAGAATCAATGCAAGTTACCGGCTTGAAGCAACTCAAGTCGGGATGCCCACTTAGCGTAAATAAATGTCAAAAAACAAGAAACAAAACTTAGAAAACACAAACCTACTTGAGGCGACTAAGTCACTCCACGTCTCTTGCTGTTTGGGCTTCAAACTCAAAGCAGTAGCCGTCCCCAGTAGCCCCCCAATTTGTATTTTGTGTAGCGTTTTGGGTGTCCTAACCTAAATGTAAATTGCCATGTGAATTCAAAGCGGTGCTGCTCTTTTCCTCTCTCTCATTCAGCAGATCCCTCTTTCCTTGCCGACGCTGCTCAGGCCGTTAGTTACATAAGACGCAAACCGACTGCTGTCCGTCGTAAAACTACTCACGACCCACAGAGCAATATTTTGTCTCCCTAAACGCCACCATTGAATTTCCCGGCTTCCTTTTAAGACGAACAAATTTCATCTTCCCACTTGTCCGACAGCATGCATTCGCCATCAACAACTCGTACCGTGCATCGGCCGATGCAATTTTTTTTGTTGCCGTTCACAATGCCACTGCACCAACAGTAGAGAGGGCTGTGGCATGGTGTGCATTTGTGTTGGTAGTGTTCTTTTAGTGCTGCTTACCTGTTGATCAAAATAAGCATAGCCTCTTTTCTCTCAGTGTGTGTCTCTTTCAGCAGCCTGTTAAGATGGTGGCTGGCTGCTTGGCTGGCTGCTTCGTCTCCTTTGTGGGCTTTTTGTTTGTTGATGATGTCGGACGGGTGGTAGACAGTTGTCTTGGCTCTCTCTTTTTTCTTTGGTCTGAGAGGGAAAGAGATAGTTAAGGCTTCACGGCACACACATTTAAACTAAGCTGATACCGATGTATTAGTAGTGAGGTTGGCTCTGGTAGTGCAATATTCCGATGTTATAGTAGTTATTTAGCCGCGCAGAGCCCCCGATTTGCTGGCCACAGCAAACCAAAGCAGAGCAGCTCGTTATCTGTTATTTTCTTTTGTTACAGACTAGTGTTATCGCTTTGCTGTGACAGGACCCTCTCTGCCTGTCTCTCTGTAACGCTGTAGGCATTACGTCAGAGGAGGAAGACAAAGCAGCTCTATTAATATCAAGAAGCCACCCCGAAGACGACTCTTAAAGGACACACACTGTTATCTCACTATTTACACATTTAAATCTAAACCAAATCAACTTACGCTAAAAGCAAAAACGCTTGGCACACTCTAATGTTGTTTTAAATAGTTAATACTAAAACATAGGTCATTAATATTCACTAAAATCAAGAACACTCACTTAAAGTTATACTCTGTATTACTCTTTTTAAAAGTATTTAACAAAATCAATGACTCATCCAAAATCAAGAATGCTGACTCACTTTACTAACATTTTATTTACACACTTAATAATACCAAAACATATAAATACTCCCTCGAATATCTCAATATGAAAGTGACATGTATTGTATACTTTTTTAACTATGTAAAAAAATAAACCTACTAATACAATAATCATAAAACATTGTCTTTTAAAGTGGACACACACACCTATTCTCATTTATTTACACATACTTAACCAAATCAACAACTCAACTAAGATAAGAGGAAAGATTAATGTCACACAACACACACACCACAGTTTCACACATTACAGAGTTTTATATTAGACCAAATTCAACTTCTACACTAAAATCAAGAACACTAATCGTTAAAGTGACACACTGTAATATTATATTTATGGAGTTTAGAACTAAACCAAATAAACTACAGACTTTATGTATTAATACTAACACCCTTTAGATGAGTAAAAGTAGCAATAAAGAACATTTAAACTAATAGTAATAACAATAATAAAAAAACTATAATTTAAATAAAATGATATGTCGTTTATTAATTAAATACACATTTAATGAAGCATTGACAGTTTTTATACACCTTATTGTAATAAGCTCTTGTATAATTTAAGTCGGTTAATACACTCTTTAAAATAAACCATTCGTAAATATCTAACTATAGCCTCTATAAACGTTTAAAATGTAAATGAATCTTTCACTGCCTCAACACTCATTAAAACTCAAGCTACGCTCTCATAGTAGGTCGACATTTGGAACTTACATGAAAACTTCTGACAATTTGATTTGTTTGAATGTGTTAACACATATTGGAGGTGGTATTTCCTCTACAGAGTCAGCGGTGCAAATATATTAGTAACTCTTATCTGTTATCACTACCTATTTAACCAGAGGGCAAATAAAACTGTGCGATCAAATCATAATTATTCATGGTTTTATAAAATGATAATTTTACTAGTGGCAGCTTGTGCATTTACTGGAAAGCTCTCCAAATCAGGGTAATGTTACTAAATAAATCTTAACTTTTATTTTCCTTAACTTACATTATTCCAGATGTAATATTAGTCTTGTCCAGAAACTAAAGGCTAGTGGCTGAATCTAGAATGATGTTTGTGTTTAAGTTCTGCAAAGAGACATAACTACATTATTAACATTACGTACAAAGTTTATACATGAACTGTGTGCAATAATTTAAGAATGATGTCAAGTTTAATGACAAACAGCATAGTAAGGGTCATATATAGAACAAAAGAAGTATGCTGCTTTCAGGGTGCCATAAATAATAAAACATAAAGTGTGACATAAATAATGAAAATGCCCTCGTTAGCTTGGAAAACCTGGCTGTTGGGTGAGTCTCCAAACCTATCCTTCTCCCATTGCCCTGCAGTCCTGAAGGACTCTGAACTTTTGAGATTATTTTTCAAACAATGCCCTTCAAAAGCCGAAGGTCAAAAATGTTTGCTAACAAAGACAATAGTGCAGCCTCCAGGCATACACCCTGCTGGATCCACCTCCTCCAGAGTGGTGAAGGCTTTGGACAGAACAGAGAGGAAGCCACATTGAAGAAATAATACACCTGCCACATACCGCAAGTATTGCACATACACCTCCCATTGATCTATGTTTCAAATGTTCAATTTTCTTGCCTTTCCCTATTATTTTCTTTGTCCATTTCTTGAAGAAAGAGATTGTTTACCCCTGTCCCATAGTTTCCTCTTCCTATTTACAACTAATAATATCCTGTTGGTATAAAAAATATTCATCTTTTGTTTCCTGCACCCAATAACAGGAAGTATATAGCATAATATACAATATGTGAAGCAATCTTGCCTGTGATGAAACATCTATAGCTGTGATTACACTGACAAAACGTTTGTGTTGTCACGGCAACCACTGTGTTTCAATTGTTGTTCAAATATTGTTATGACGGCTTCTGTCTCTGTGTCAGTAATAAACTAGGTGGAGTCATAATTGGCTAATCAATTTTTACTGTTGCATAATCAAGCATTTCCTTCAAAAGTAAAACAAACACAATATTGCAAATGGAATAAAGGTAAATTAAATGAATAATCATACTACACTAGTGATGTAACTAACCTAGGGCTGTAAGGTGAGGATGAACATGTTCAAGCTTGACACGAGATCACATGAACTAAGAGTCTGAGAAGGAAATGGATATAATCTCTCATTGATGTAGCACAATGATATTCAGCATTCACAGCAGCCATGCAAAATACACTCAGTATATTTTGCACATGAAAGAAAATCCTTTGACTCTGCTTTGGAGTCCTTTGCAGCGATAGATCAATGCAGTTTTCATCTTTATTGCCAAGCATTGGAGGTAGCTGATCTCAATCAGGCAGTACAAAGAGGATGATGAATAAGTGTGTACACAACAGCAAAGCATATCCCAGTAATCAGCAATATGCATAATCCCTGTGAGAACAAGAGCGTTTGAGTCAGCACATGCAGTATAGAGAATTGCCTTTCGTTATTTCGTAAGCAATAAATACTCTATGTTTCTCCAGTTTGTACACAAACCCCCAAACTGAGTAATGACTTGAAACAGTTTTTACAAAAACAACCTGTACAAAATACAAGAAGTATACGAAAGTCTTTTGTTGATTGAAGTTATTCAATAATCTCAAAAACACAATATTTAAGAAGAATCTAGTGCAGACTCTTTACCTACATGTACATTCTGCTTTTATCTTACCTATCAAATCTGCTGGAAGTCCAGACTGCCCAGTTAGTTTCATAAAATATGAAAGACAGTAAAATATCAAAGTCATACCATGTTTTCTGTTAGAATTTGTAAAATGATGATCCTGTCCACAGAAGACCAGTAAAACTCAAATAAAACAGTGACACTGTGACAGACTTCAAGTTTGTTCCCCTGTGTTTAATGGCCCAGTGTGACCGTCCTTTGAAA